GGATGTATCTGTAAAGATTAATAGAAATTACCCATATTTTCATTTCATCATGCTTGTTTCAAAGGGGAAAATCTCTAAGTCTGACAAAACCATGTTCTCAACATAAAATGCTATACAGCGATGAGGAGGAGGCGCACAGCACAGGAGACCCGCTGAGGCCGGCTTACTGCTCCCGTTTGGTGGCTGAGCGGTGGCCCAGGGGGCTTGGCCGATGCCAGCGGGAGCGAGTCAGGCTGAGCCAGGGCGATCCTAGGGGCACCGTCTCGGCACCCGGGCCCCTCCCCGCCCAGGCCGGCGTCCCTCTCCTCTGAGCGGGGTCCGGTGGGCGGCCTGCCAGGCCGTGAAGACCCTGGAGCCTTCGTGTGGCCCCAACCTCAGCCCCTGTGCTCACAACCACCTTTGTCGCAGCCACAGGCCCCTGGTCTCCTTGGGGTGACCTCGCCCAGGGCGCAGGCTGCCTCCGCTGGCGGAAGCCGGTGGCTGAGGGTTGGAAATACACAGACATTTTTAATGGAAGCAAAATGGGGCAACGGCGTCACGACCATCAGGGATTGAGCTCAGGCGAGGCAGGGCGGGCGCTGTGCCCCTGTCATGACAACTGGCGGCAGGGGTGGGGGCCTGGCCATGGGGGGCCGGCGAGGAGCCCAGGCTGCCAGCTTCATCCCTGGGCAGGAGCAGAGGCTCCAGCCCAGCTGCTTCTGCGAACACCCCGAGGGCAGGCACCTGGCGGCTCCCAGAGGCTCCTCAGCGGAATTACTCAATCACCCCATCACCCAGCCAGTACTTAACCAAGCCCAGCCCGGGGAGCCTGGCGAGCGTGGGGGCGAGGCCCGCAGGTTCTCTGGGCTCCCCATCCCCACACAGACCATTCAGAGGCCCCACTTGGGACACATCACCTTGAAAAGTCCTTCCCGGTCACCGTGTCTGAGGCAGACAAGGCAGCAAGACAGGCTGACGGGGGAACAGTCTCCCTTCGAGCACAAGCTGACCCTCAGGGCCAGGAAGCTGGCATGGCAGGCTCCGCCCTTGCTCCAGCTGTGGAGGGAGGACACGTGTGAGCTGTTGCGATGATGAAATCCCACAGTCCATACAGGAGCTGCAAGGGCTTGGGTTCTGAGTTCACTCTGAGTCGGAGCTCCGTCACTTGTCAGAGGGGATGTGGGGTGAGAATACTGCGGGTGAGAATACTGCAGATGACATGGCGGGGAGTGGGGGGTGGCTTGTGTCGCTGGAGCACGGAGCTGCCTGCCCCTCCTCGGAGCGCACGGAGTGTGGGAGGAGCAGGTTTTGGGGGGGGGGCAGGATCTCAGTAGCACGTGGCCTTCTGAGGTGCCCCTAGACATCTAATCGGGGACCCAGGGGTCTGGAGAGAGGCCACGCTGGAGCTGAGGCGGAGGGTCACTGGCCCAAAATGAGCCAGACCTGGCGAGAGAGGAGGCTGGTGTGGAGGAGAGAGCGGGATCAAGTGGGCGAGTGCATTTTGAAAATCTTGCCAGAGCTCTTGACCAGTTTGGCTCAGTGGATAGAGCCTTGGCCTGTGGACGTGCATTTTGAAAATCTCGCCAGAGCTCTTGACCAGTTTGGCTCAGTGAATAGAGCCTCGGCCTGTGGACTTAAGGGCTTCGGTTTAATTCTGGTCAAGGGCACACGCCTGGGTTGTGGGCTCAATCCCCAGTAGGGGCCATGCAGGAGGCAGCTGATCAATGAGTTTCATCATGGATGTTTCTCTCTCTCTCTCTCTCTCTCTCTCCCCCTCTCCCTTTCCCTGTGAAATCAATAAAATATATTATACAAATAAAAAAATGCTATACAGCACTTACAAATGCTATAGAATTATGCTAACATAGAAGTATGAGATTACGAAATAGGAGGTATAACACCAACTTGGTAAATTTACATAGGCTAGAAAAGGATCTGAGAAAAATGCGTTTTAGTTGTCTAGTAAGTGAATTAAGGGTATTCTTAGCTTGTCTGCACTGATTTTTCCCAAGGAGTTGCTTTTGTGCTTTAATTACAGACACATACACATTTCTCCCCCCTGTACCTGCCCAAACCCCCTAATTTCTGTCCCCACTTCCACACACTTTTACACACTTCTGAACATGGACTTCTACAATCAAATCTTTTCCCTTAGGCCTCCATGAGTACTAGGCACTTGGTTCTGTGCTTTAGACCTCTGATTAATCCTCATGGGAAAGGTCAAATTCCACCTGACAAGCCCAGAAAGGTGCTTGTTAACTGGTTTTTCTAGTTAACAAATTAGATTGACTTGTTTGCATCGTTATTAAAAAGTTATCTTCCTTGTCCTTTTAGGATGTCTGAATTGATGTCGTCATTCTTTCTTATAACTCAGTTCTTTGTTCAAAACTAGCTGTTGAGCCCTGGCTGGGTTGTTCGGTTGATTAGAGCATCAACCTGATACACCAAGGTTGCAGGTCTGATACCTAGTCAGGGCACATACAAAAATCAACCAATGAATGCATAGCTAAGTGGAACAACAAATCAAAGTGTATTTTTTTCTCTCAAAAACAACAAAAAACAATTTGAAAGGGCAAGAGATTTTCTTTGTAACTACTGATCCAACATTCCATCTCAAAGTAGAGCAGTGAAAAAAATATATATATTGTTTTCCTTTGAGAACAAAGGATTGAGGGTTCATTTTATCACAAAAGGATAATGCTTAAGGCAAGCAGCATCTGGAATTACTTCCATTACAATTTTCTGTAGAGAAGACAATCTTTAGGTATCAATCTATAAAAAAAATAAACCCTTATTATTTTTAAAGAAAAATGTTAGTAGTGATGAGAACAATTGAGAAACTTTGACGGTACAATTTATCACCATTTCTAGGGCTGAGGAAGTTGGATAGTACAAATGCACACTGCTGGATGGTTTAAAATTCAGTTTGTTTTTAGGTATCCCTTTAACTGGTACAAATAGGAGCTAGAGAAATCCTGGCACACACAAAAAATTGCTCAAGTGTGAGAATGCTTCACTTAATTTACATATTGGGTAACCTGCTTGGGATCCTTTCCCATGCCCCAGGGTTGCCAAAGCCCTCCTTTTGCATCTGCTTTCCTGTAGTCTCACACTTTTAAGATGTCATACCTCACCACTCCCTGTGAACTCTGGTCAAATGGTCATTTGTGCGCAGTCCTTGCAGAGATGTGATCCCCTAGGAATCCGTTTTTAAAGCATTCTTGCCTCCTACCCATCAGTCTACAGGCAAAATAACACCAAGTGTAGGGAATCTCAACTTTGCTCCAAGGCCCCCTCTTTAGCGGTAACCTTGGCAAGTGCCTTCTCTGGGCCCCGTTTTTGCATTTGTCAAATCAGCACTAGTGCCCAACACCAACCACCTCTAAAGACTATTTTGATGGCAAAATTCTAAGTCCAATATACAAGAAAGCAAATTTCAAAAATACGCAAATAGCCCTAGCCGGTTTGGCTCAGTGGATAGAGCGTCGGCCTGCGGACTGAAGGGTCCCAGGTTCGATTCCGGTTAAGGGCATGTACCTTGGTAGCGGCTCAATCCCCAGTAGGGGGTGAGGAGGCAGCTGATCCATGTTTCTCGATCATTGATGTTTCTAACTCTCTATCCCTATCCCTTCCTCTCTGTAAAAAATCAGTATTTTAAAAAAAATACGCAAATACAAATCACACCGGGCCTAGTTCTAGCCTAGTCAGTACTTACAAGCTTACTACCTGTGAATACTTATTTTGCTTCAGAGGACATTAGACTATTTCTCCATTATTGAACCAATGCAGTCACACATTTTTAAAGTACAATGTAGCCCTAACTGGTTTGGCTTAGGGGATAAAGCACCAGCCCTCAGGGTAGGTACCACCTAGGTTATAGGTTAGATTCCTGGGCCCTGCCAGGGCGCACGTAGGAGGTAATCAATTGATGTTTCTGTCTCTCCCCTCCCTTAAAAATAAAAATCAATGGAAAAATATCTTCGGGTAAGGATTAACAAAAAAGTACAATGTAGATGTGTTCAAGTAATTTATAACCCTTGTGATCAACGGGGTGAGAAATGTCGCAGCCAGATCGCCCACACATCCGAGTGCCCTCACATCCAAGTCATTTACAGTAAAATAAAATTTTGGAAGTACATGGAACTTGTTTAAATAAAATTTAAGCCAGAACTTAATCCATGTGCCTCAAATAATTCTTTCATAATTGAGATTTTATTGTTTTGAGGATCAGTACACAGACATTTCAATTTGTACACAATTCTTAACATACGTACCAAAAATGTAGTCATGTAGTTGTGATTCTTTTCTAAACAGTTATTCCAGTGACTTTCCAGCTCAAAATTTAGAGGCTAACTTTCCTTCATAGAGTATCAAGTACCAATATCTTCAAATGTTGATACGCTGTTACATCAAAGTCCCACTAATTCACAATTTAATAGCATATATACTACATAATCAAATTTTCAATCTTTCACAGCACATTGACAAAGTTACTAGGAAAACTGGACTACCACAACAAAGATGTTCCAGATGCACAAAATTCTGACAGGGAGAGCCACGATCAAGGAGTGGTTTTCTTTAGGAAACAATTGTACCAAAAACATGTGACTATAAGTAATTTAAAATGTTCAAGACATAGCAAACGCACGACTAACTCCAAATTGCCATTTAGTATGCTTTGTATTATAGGATATAAAAACTACCCCCATCTATGGAATGTTCAGCTGACACCCAAGACAATCAAAGTCTCCCATATTCAATATCCCACTATTTTCTGGTTGTACCAAAAAATAAACAACCAGCAAATGATTTCACCTCTTTAAAAAAAAAAAGCATTTACTCTTTTTAAAAAATGGGATGAGGTGGAATTCCCTCCTTCTTAAAAATGTTTCTAGTGCTACTAAAAAACTTGCATTTACAAAATAGTTGATAAAAATATTCCTCTGGATTGTACAAGAAGGGAGACAGGGACCACGGATAAGACATGGTACATGACATTAATCAGACTTGGCTTCTTTTTCTCCTGCTTCATCTGAGGTTGGACTCTGCAAATCAAAGAAAAAATAATGATTAAACATTTGGTTTCTGTGTCATTGCTATGATCTTTGAGAGTAGAATTTAACACAATGTAAGTTTTACATATATATAACTAATATATACATATAACTCTTAGGTCTTAAAAATACAGTCAATTCTTGCCCTGGCCGGTGTGGGTCAGTTGGTTGTGTTGTCCCATGCACCAAAGGGGCGCGGGTTCCATTCTCAGTAAGGGCACACATAGAAGGCAACCAACTGGTATTTCCCCACCTCTCTCCCTAGAATGAAAAAATGTATCCTCAGGTGAGGATCAAAAAAGAAAAAAAAAGTCAATCCTCATTATTTGTAATTCACCTACTCATTAAAATTTATTTGTAACCCCAAATCAATATTCATGGTGCCTCCATGATAACACCAATCATCTGTCATCTAATATGCACATTCCCAGCTGAGGTTGTGCTGCCTTCTTGTTTCAGCGCTAATACAGTAAACAAGCATCTTTTCCAAGCTCTATTTAGTGCCACA